AGGACAGAATGAGCATGAAGCTTCCGAGCAAGCTTTCGGAAGTTGCAAGTGAGCATGACATGATGCCTGCTTTCACACTCAAAAGACGGACCCAGGAGGAAACCAACAAGTGCCACCTTTAATTGGAAAGTTTTCAGTGTGCGTTGGGGAAAGACCAAACAATCAGTGTTGACACCAATCGTGTCCTCACCAGTTGCTTTAGGGTGTGGAGAGGCAAGCTGTTGTGGAGCAGGTGCATCTTGCCCACCATCATACAGCCCATCCTCTAACCCCTATTCCCATTACTAGTTNCATGCTGTTGTGGAGCAGGTGCATCTTGCCCACCATCATACAGCCCATCCTCTAACCCCTATTCCCATTACTAGTCACTCGCGCCCGGGATCGAATCAGGGACCTCAAGATCTGCAGTCTTGCGCTCTCCCAACTGAGCTTTCCGAGCGAATTTTAGGAGGCCATCTCCCTACTATTGATATCATGCGAAAGTTGCAAGTAGACATGATGCCTGCTTTCACACTCAAAGACAAAAGACGGACCCAGAAGGAAATCAACATGTGCCACCTTTAATTGGAAAGTTTTCAGTGAGCATCAAGGAAAGACCAAACAATCAGTGTTGACACGAATCGTGTTCTCACCAGCTGCTTCAGGGTGTGGAGAGGCAAGCTGTTGTGGAGCAGGTGCATCTTGCCCACCATCATACAGACCATCCTCTAACCCCTATTCCCATTACTAGTCACTCGCGCCCGGGATCGAACCAGGGACCTCAAGATCTTCAGTCTTGCGTTCTCCCAACTGAGCTACACGAGCGAGGTTAAGGAGGCCATCCCCCTACTATTGATATCACGTTGTAATTGCAAAAGAAAAGAAAAGAAAACCCAGGAGATTTGCCCTCCTCAACGTTCTTTGCTCCTTGCAGGATTTTGCCTCCACCAAGATTCTGCCGAAGGGCTGGGACAAGATCCAAGCTGACCACCCTTTCCTTGCTGTTCAGCAAGGCGCTCATGAAGGCCCCATCGGCGGTGGCAATTGGACCGGTCATGGTGATGATTCTGGTCAGGCCCTCAAATTAACAGTGCGCCTCACCCTTGAAAAGGTGGACCTCTAGCTGAGTGTAGATTAGTGGTGTCGAGGTTCCCGGGCGGCTTTGGAGTGGTGTGGTCTTGGAGGGGGGAGGGGTTAGGTTCTGGTCTGTGGCTGGAGTGGGGCGCTTTGGGGGGTGGGGGGGTATTAGGTTAGCCGTGAGTAGCCGCCCGTCAGTAGGGATCTTCGGCCGAGTTAGCCTCTCCTTGCTTCCCTCTGCGTTTGCCTCTCTCAGTTTTGTAGCCGCCTTGCTTCTGTTTCCTTGCTAGTCAGCCTTCGTTCGCCTGCCTGGCTGCTCTCTGCTCGCTTGACTTCAGCTCCGCGCTAACTCAACTCTGTGTGAGTCTCTTTTGTCTCTGTTGTCCTCTCTTGCTTCCAGTGGCCTTGCCTTTGATCTGGGCTTGTGTCCTTCTTAGTCTGAACAGTCCTCCTTCTGCCGCTTGCTTTGGGTGGAGCTTGGGGTGTTGTTTCCTGCTTGAGTTAAGTTTCCTTCCTGCAACTGCTCTCCCGCGTGTCTTTGACAGCTTGGCCTGGCCTTGTCCTTTCTTCCGTGGGTTCTCAGTAGCTACTACCCTATAGGGCTGGTCCTTTTCTTGAGTTGTGTTTCAGCGTCTTTTGTTCTTGCTCTTTCTTGCGGCTCTTCTTCTGCTGTCAGGTCCCTGCTGGGGGCCGCTCATGTAATAGCAAAAAAAAAACTACACAGGCAGTGAAAACACTCCCTACATCAATCAAGGAAAAGGGGAAACCTTGGGCCGAGGCACCGTGTGTCCGCTTCATCAAGAGAAAGCAGAAGAAAGAAGTCAGTGGGGATCAGGTGTGTTACTAGCAGTAGCCCATGCCTAACCTTGTTGGGAGTCGAGAAAGTTCTTCTCAAGAGCGCGTCTGGTGCTGGCAAGTTTATAAGCATATAGGACAGAATGAGCATGAAGCTTCCGAGCAAGCTTTTGGAAGTTGCAAGTGAGCATGACATGATGCCTGCTTTCACACTCGAAGACAAAAGAAGGACCCAGAAGGATACCAACAAGTGCCACCTTTAATTGGAAAGTTTCCAGTGTGCATTGAGGAAATACCAAACAATCAATGTTGTCACCAATTGTGTCCTCATCAGCTGCTTTAGGGTGTCGAAAGGCGAGCTGTTGTGGAGCAGGTGCATCTTGCCCACCATCATACAGCCCATCCTCTAACCCCTATTCCCATTACTAGATGCCCGCGCCCAAGATCGAACCAGGGACCTCAAGATCTTCAGTCTTGCGCTTTCCCAACTGAGCTACCAACACGAGCAAGGTTAAGGAGGCCATCCCCCTACTATTGATATCATGTGGAAATTGTAAAAGAAAAGAAAAGAAAAACTATCCAGGCAGTGAAAACACTCCCCACATCAATTAAGGAAAAGGGGATGCCTCGGGCCAAGGCATTGTGTATCCGCTTCATCAACAGAAAGCAGAAGAAAGCAGTCAGTGGGGATTAGGTGGGTTACTAGCAGTAGCCTGACCTTGTTGGGAGTTGAAAAAGTTCTTCTCAAGAGCGCGTCTGGTTCTGGAAAAGAAAAGGAAAAAAAGAACAACTACATAGGAAGAGAAACTCTCCCTACATCAATTAAGGAAAAGGAGACATATTGGCTCAAAAAAGAGCCGTGTGCCCCCTCCACCACAAGGTATGAAAAAACGAATGATAATGTGGATCTGGAGGGTTACTAGAAGCACCTGGTCCTAGAACCTGGCTGTGGGAAGTATTCTTGTTTTCAATAGCGCGGCGTGTGGTGACTAGTTTGTGGGCATATTGAACAGAATGGGCATGATGTTGTTGAGCAAGCTTCGTGGCACGCTGGTGATCCAATCCTAGTTGTTTGAATTGCTTCAGGGTATTCTCGGTATAGGGTATTCTCAGTGTAGGGTATTCTCAATAGTTCCACCTACATTCAGGTGAATAGGGTGAATTGTAACAGCTTTAGTGTTAATGAGTTTACAAAGGTCTGCATGCTGCTGCTTTGCCACGTTCAACTGATGTACTGGCCTTGTGTCTTCACAGAACTTGATTTCTATTAGGTGCACATGGCGTTCATTTGCATGAAGTTCATGGGGCTGCCTCATGCGGCTAGTTCTGGTGGTCCTCAGTGAGGAGCTGCGCAAAGCGTGATTGGAATGGGTAGGAGAAGCACCGTTAGAAGTATGTTTGGCATTGAAAGGGGTGACCAGAACAGCATATGGTCGACTGGGGTTGAGTCTTTCCTCTCTTGAAGGGTGCGAGGGAAGAAGTAGGCAGGTAGAGTTCTGTTTGAGGCACGTGTAGGGAGTTGGAGGTTGTGTTGAGCAAGCTTAAAATTGCTTCCTATGTCTGCGTACACTAAGCCTGCCCCTACAGGGCATTTGCTGAGGGCTTTTGTAATCATTCTGGCTGCAATGTTATGGCTCTCAGTTTTCATGCTGGAGATGATGTGGTTTTGGCAGCCTGAGAGCATGTGGAGTGCGCTATCCAAGTGATGGCAGCCTGGGAGGGGACAAGATGGATCAGTTGACCTTTCAAAACGTACTGCATCTTTTTGGTTGTAGAGGGTGCCTGTGCGGTACTGCAGGATGGTACGCTTCATGGGTACAGAAATGTTGGGCATGTTTCTGAAGGCATCGCTGATTTTTTAATCTACTTGCGGCAATAAGTTTTTATAGTAAGTAGCCTGTTTTGGCATTGGCATATCCAAGCTTGTGTTCAAAATGCATGTGGGATTTGAGGGCATCTTGAAGATTGGGGAAATAGGTGAGCTTGTGGGCGGGTGGTGGACCCGCATGTGTGCCTGCAGCATGCACTCTTTCTTCCTTGGCTAACCAGAAAATGTTTGTAAATGGATTTCCACCAGGACCTGCACCAGGAATCTCGTCTGCCACGCAGTTCTGGGCTTGCTTTGCTTGATGTTTTGCAATAGCATCTGCACATTCATTTCCAGCGATGCCAGCATGGGACTTCACCTTGTAAATTCGAATTTTGGTATGGAAGTCTCTAATGAGAGTTGTAATCATTTTATGGACGTCTCGTTGGATATGCCTCAGGTGTTTCTCAGGGTACAGAAGTTGTTTACATATTTGTTCAAGAGAGCTGAGGCTGTCTGATGCAATGTCTGCATGTTTGGTCATGATAGCAGCCGCAATTGCTGCCAATTCAGCTCTAGTGATGGTTTTAGTAATCCCAGCACCGTTAGGTTCTACAAATTTCTTGCTGTCAGTGGACGGGCAGTAGACGCCTGCTCCAATTTCTTGCTTACCGTTATGGACAAGGCAGCTGCCATCTGTGTATGCTCATGTCCTCCAATCAGCAACTTTGAGAGTTAGAATAGCGCTGGATTGGCTGGGCACCGAGTCTGTTTCTTGGACGATCATGTGTGGATTTTTAGGGTGTTTGGAGGCGTGTTGTTTGTCCAATGGGAGGCGTTCCAGTCTATTGAAACCTGGCATGTGAGTATGCGTGGGATTTAGGGCAGGGTGGCTGCTGCCGTTCGTCAGCTTCCACTCTGTGGCTTCATTCAAATCTCCTTTCAGGCCCTGTAGCCAGTCTTTGTTATGGTTGTTGAGATGGACTCGAGCTGCAGTGTTCCAAACAGCAAAGATGCAAAGGTCCCAGGTATGCATAGGTAAAGGTATCTCTTGGTTAGGGCAGGATTGAGGGGCACTGTAACTAAGTTTTTCGCGAGGTATGGTTCCAAGTTCGTAACAGAGGTGGGGGTAGGCAGTGAAAAGTTTGGAGTAGGGGTTGGTTATCATGTTCTTATTCCAAGCGGGAAGGAACATGAATGTAGCAGTGGCTTCTGTGTTGAGAATGGCTGAGTAAATGACATGTTGCAAGGCTTGGGTCACAATTCCCTCGCCATAAATGGGATGGCAGACTGAGAAGCCAGTGAGTTTGGATGAGAAGGCATTATGCATGGCACCAAAAAAAGCGTCTCGGAAGTCCGCACTCCAAAAATTCTGGTATTGTGGGTTGTGGTCTATTGGGGAGGCCATTTTTTTTTTGGGCTACCAAAGCCCATTTTTGGAGGGCAGTATGAATGTGAGTTGGAAGGGCTCGTGAAAAGGATTATTTGGTCTTTTTGCTAGTGTTTTCTTTCAAGCATGGATTTGCGGGAAAGGAGCCCTTGTAGCTCAGTAGTAAAGCTGCCAGGAGTTGGTGTTATTATGTCGTGCATGCCAGCAAGCTTGGCCCCATAGAAAGCCCTGTAGAGGATTTGGAAGCGGTTCGGGGGAACCATACCATCACATTTGCCTTGCGTATTATAGATGCAAGCCATGTGCGCCGTGTATATTTCTGGGAGAAGGCTGCCATACATTGGTTTCATTAAGTTTTTCAAAGCCCTGTCTTTCAAGATTTGAGAGGGGAGAATCTGCTGTGGGAGTTGAGGGGTTAGGCTCGCTCTGTTGTGCTTCAAACTTAAGCAAACACTCTTTAAATTTAGGCCATGTCTCCTGTAGATCCTTTGATTCCCAGGAGGGCTTCCAAGTGACCCTCCTGAGTTCTTGTTTAGTCTGTTGCTCTCTTTCAATTTTTTGGGCATCATTTAGGCTTGCACAGGCGGGACATGCCCATGCGTCAGCTGTTGCAGTTTCTTGTCTTTGCTCATAAGAGTAGCATCCAAGCTCCTTCATACATTCCCAATGGTACGTGCAATGGCACACATCACAAACATACATATCAGGAAGTGGATGCTCCAAGGTTCCAGTTTCATAACTTTGGTAGGAGTTGCATATTTGGCAGCAGGCACACTCAATATCAGTGCGAGCAGCAGGCGAGACATCCCCAGGCACAAGTTTAGCTTGTTTGAAATGTGGCAGGGCCCATATTTCAATTATCTTGGGTGCATAATGCGTGTGGTATTGCACTTGGAGGTGGAGCTTGACTGTTCTGTCTTGTTCTCCGAAAAAATTCTTCATCATCTATGTGAGTAATGTCTAAATCATGATAGAAGATAGAACTGATAGCATGGCTAGCAGTAGTCTCTTTAGCAAGTTTCTCAGCTGTGTTTCTCCTTTAGTTCCATACTTTTGGGCCTTGGGAAAGGGAGCTTAGAGAGTGGATGGCTGGGGAAATGATCTCACTGTCTGTGTGAAGCAATTGTTGCCTCTTCTTTCTGGGTCTGTTTGCTTGAGTATCTGGGCTGTGCGGAGAAAGAGTTTGCGTCTGAGGGTTGAGACAATCATCTGTCTGATGTTGGTGGTTAGTGCTAGGGGGTTTGGGATAAAGTGAGCAGTGCTCAGACAAGCCTGTGAGCTGCTATCATTTGGGCTAGCCTGGCTGAATTGGGACATGGAAGAATAGGTATTTCTCAACGCTGAGCGTGTGCGTTTGCTAGGTGGCCCTTCTGCAGTAGTATCTTGTACGGCAGGAGCTAGGGTATCCAGGCTTGTAGTGAGTTTGTCTGCAGAGGGGTGGAGTGCTTGTGTGGGAGTGATGTTGAGTGTAGCATTGGAGCGAGTTCTTTTGCTGAGTGGCTCCCCTAGTGATTGCATATCCATTACATTTGAAAGTTGTTGTGTTCCAGGATAATTAATGGGTGTAGGATGGTTGAGGGCACGTCTGAGGCGGCGTCCAGTGTGTTCATGGGTGTAGAAAGATGTGAAACGAGGCTGTGGCGGTGGCACTGCTTGAGTGGGGGGGATGAAGCTAGGTTGGGAGTTTGTTCGTTCGGAAATCTGGGTGTGGGGAGGCTGTTCCCTACCCATGCTGGTGTTGGTAAGGCCGCTCACATGGGTGTTGTTAATACGACGGTAAGCTGGGAGGGTATTTGCTTCAGTRTTTTTGTAGGCAATGGTCTTTTGGATTAAGGATATGTTCAGTTCTTCTTGTGGAGCAAGGTTGACAAGAGCTGCCAGCCTGTTAAGTGCAATTTTACATTTATTGTTCACCTTGGGGTGTTTAGCCTGAAGTTGAGAAACTGAGATGACATGGGTTTTGTGACAAGATGTAAGCTCATGTAGCCCACTGATTCCCATATTCAGCAGAGGTTGCATAATGCAGGTGATGAGAGTAGGAAGGTTGTGAGGGGGTGGTTTGTGCAAGGTGAGGGCTTCACAAATGTGCTCTAATTCCTCCTTGAACAACTAGTGCCATTTTTCATGAGATGGAGCTTGCTGGAATGCACGCTTGTCAGCTGGCGGGCGCACATGTTATAGTTGAGCTGACGTTTAATGTGCAGGTTTATAGGCAAGTTTATAAGCATACAGGACAAAATGAGCATGAAGCTTCCGAGCAAGCTTTCGGAAGTTGCAAGTGAGCGTGACATGATGCCTGCTTTCACACTCGAAGACAGAAGACGGATCCAGAAGGAAACCTAAAAGTGCCACCTTTAATTGGTAAGTTTTTAGTGAGCGTTTTTAGTGTGCATTGAGGAATGACAAAATAATCAACGTTGACACCAATCGTGTCCTCACCAACTGCTTTTGGGTGTCGAGAGAAAAACCTGTCCTGGAGCAGATACAACTAGCCCACCATCGTACAGCCCATCCTCTGACTCCTACTCACAAGTAAAGCGCCCAGTATCGAACCAAGGACCTCAAGATTTTCCGTCTTGCGCTCTCCTAACTGATCTACACGAACGAGGTTATGGAGCTCATTCCCCTACTATTGATATCATGTGGAAGTTGCAAAAGAAAAGAAAAGAAAAACTACGCAGGCAGTGGAAACATTCCCCGCATCAATCAAGGAAAAGGGGATACCTTGGGCCGAGGCACCGTATATCCGCTTCATCAAGAGAAAGCAGAAGCAAGATGTCAGTGGGGATCAGGTGGTTCACTAGCAGTAGCCCATGCCTGACTTTGTTGGGAGTTGGAAAAGTTCTTCTCAAGAGCGCGTCTGGTGCTGGC